AGAGCAGCTGAGCACCAGACGTGTTTCCAACTGATGGACAAAAAGACACCTCGTTGAGAAAACGGCATTAAGCCAATTGGAATTCAGGATAAAAAAAAAATCAAATTACAGTAAAATCTTGGATTGTGAGTAACCTGTTCTGCGAGTGTTCCGCAAGACAAGCTAACATTTCTAACAAATTTTAAGTGGCTACACGAGCAATGTCTTGCAATACGAGTCGTACGTGACACCAAACGTCACATGATCACATCTGAGCCAAGGACTCTTGAAATATGCTTTGATATACAAGTGCTTTGGATTACAAGCACGTTCCGGGAACAAATTATGCTCACAAACCAAGGTTTTATTGTGTATTTCTACCATACAGTGGATCTAAATATAAGCTCCATATAAATTAAAGACACGAGGGGCGCTGGGTGGCTCAGTCAGTTACGTGTCCGACTTCGGCTCAGGTCATGATCTCACGGTCCGTGAGTTCGAGCCCCATGTCGGGCTCTGTGCTGACAGCTCAGAGCCCGGAGCCTGTTTCAGATTCTGTGTCTCCCTCTCTCTCTGACCCTCCCCCATTCATGCTCTGTCTCTCTCTGTCTCAAAAATAAATAAACGTTAAAAAAAAATTTTTTTTTATTAAATTAAAGACATGAGGGGCACCTGGGTGGCTCAGTCAGTTAAGCATCTGACTTCGGCTCAAGCCAGTAGTATCTCACGGTCCACGAGTTCGGGCCCTGCATTGGGCCCTGTGCTGACAGCTCCGAGCCTGGAGCCTGCTTCAACTTCTGTGTCTCCCTTTCTCTTCACCCCTCCCCCGCTCGCACTCGGTTTCTATCTCAAAAATAAATAAACACACACAAAAAATCTAAGACGTGAATTTTAAGCTTTATGACCTCAGAATGAGGACAATCTCTTAAGATTCAAAGAACAAGAAATAACAAAGGAAAAAAAATTGATAAATTGGCTCCATCATCACTGCAAATTTCTACACACAGAAACTTTTAAAACAAAGTTAAAATACAAGGTATTTATTCAAACACATAAAACAGGCAAAAGATTAGTTCCCAGTTGAAAGTATGGAAAACCTTTACGTTGACGAGTAACAAAAAGACAGACAACCTTAAAGAGAAAAGGACAAAGGCCTTGACAGGCAATTGGCAGAAAGGAAACCCACCTTACAAATAAACGTGGGAAAAGCATTCAAGTTCATGAATGATGAAAAAAGTGCAAATTAACAATGAGATTTCGTGCCCACCAGATTTGCAAAAAAATTAAAACAATAACAATTATTGAGTGGGATTAAGAAATGCTCCTGGAATAATATAAATGAAGTATACCAAATGATCTTTATATTCTTGTCTGATTTTAAGATATGCATCCCTTGGGGCACCTGGGTGGCTCGACCAGTTAAACATCTGAGTCTTGATTTCAGCTCAGGGCATGATCTCATAGTTCATGGGTTCAAGCCCCGCCTCAGGCTCCGGGCTAACAGCCTACTTGGGTTTCTCTCTCCCTCTCTCTCTCTGCCCCTCCCTCACTCACGTGTGCCCTCTCTCTGTCTCTCTCGAAATAAATAAACTTAAAAAAAAAATAAAAAGGTAAAATAAATAAAATATGCATCACTTCACACAAATACCACATTTAACCACGCACACTTCACACACAGGTAACAGATAAAATGAACACATAGTTCATCTGTATAGAACACACAGATATGAATGTATGTTTAAATCATACTAGTAGGAGACAGTAACACTGCATTTTAGGACTACAAGAAGATCTTTTGCTTTCCGGGTGCCTGGCACATCATACAATGACAATATGTATTTATCAATGCAAAGAATTAGCTAATAAATGAGTGATTTCATATTTTCAAACAATTTTCTTCAATAGTCTATTTGAACCTATACATAAAAACCTCACGGGGCACCTGGGTGGCTCAGTCAGCTAAGCATCCGACTTGGGCTCAGGTCGTGATCTCATGGTCCGTGGGTCTGAGCCCCTGCATCTGAGAGCTCGGAGCCTGGAGCTGCTTCACATTCTGTGTCTCCCTCTCTCTCTGCCCACCCCCCACCCCCGCGCGCTCTGTCTCGTTCTCAAAAATAAACATTTAAAAAAATGACTAAAAAAATTTTTAAAAAAACCTAGAGCACATTGTTTCCAAGTGGGCTTAGGAGTGACTGTTACCCCCAAGCAGACAGACTGAAATCAACTATTTATATGAGGACCTTCCGAGGAGGTACGGCAAGGCACATGGTTGTCCTTACAAGTTGAGCCACAGACATCTGAAATCTATTATCAAAGTTACCAGGGTGCAATGAATTTGCTGCCGTAGAAACAGCTGTACGATTGCAGGTGGGAGAGGAGTGCAGGGGGGGCAGGGCTGCTCCGGGACGGACTCAGCAGAGGAAAAGCCAAGTAGCCAATCCAGCCTCTGGAGAGGTTAACAACAAGGCGCCTCTACTTTTTAGGAGAGAAAAAACCCAAGAACAGTCCTGATCGAGCAGGGACGGGGAAGACAGAGGCCCTGCTGACTGGATGGCCACGTCTCTAAAGGCGCCCACATGCCCACAGATGTTCCCAGGTGGGCACCACAGCTTGGAAGGAACCAGAGGACGGGGTGACGCACACCCTAAAAGGCCGTGTTAGGAGTGGCACGCAGGGATAATGCTCTGTGTTGAGGGTTGCCCACAGGGCCCGGATGGGACCAGCCGGCCTCGGGCAGGCTTCAGCAGGGAGAACACCCAGCATCCTCCGTGGTATGGGCAGCAAGGGGCATGGAGGTCTTCCCTGATCCCCCGGATGCCACCATCTGGATTCATATGTTCGCTCTCCCCCACCCGAAGCCATCAGGTCATCCACTGGAAAGAGGGGGTCTGGGTGGCCCAAGATGGAAACCACGCAGTCCCCTCTGGCTACCTCTGCACGGGCGGGGGCGTCTGAAGCTGGATCTGCTGGTAAAGCAATTAGAGCCAGCGCCCCCCTCGTGTCCTGCCCACTCAGCAGCCAGCGGCCCAACACCTCCACCCCATCGGGCACCACGGCAGAGGTCAGCCTTAGCTGCTTTGGCCAATGTGCCCTTGACCCTCTGGCCGCTCTTCCCTTTCGCCGGGAGGGGCATGTGGAGCTCGGTTCCAGGGCCCCTCATTCTGTGCACACCCAGTAAGAAAGACCACGTCTGGATTTACCCTGTGGGAGTCCTGGCGACCACGTGTCCTGAGGTCGGAGGGGTGTCTCCATTCAGCATCTTGAACGTGGTGCTCTTCCCGGCCCCGTTCACCCCCAGGAGCCCAAAGCACTGTCGGGAGGGAAAGAGAAAGGGAAAAAACTTCTGAATTACAGCAGACAGCCTTGACTTTCACGACTTCAAGCCGGCTCGGAGCTGGCGTTTCTGCGCCTCGATACCTGCAGACCCTGGACGTCACTCCGGTTGTATCGAGCACTCTGCAGATGGCAACGCACTCTGGAAATTCTACTGGCGGCCAAGCAGAGTAACCATTTCAACGACCACTGGGGACCAGTAAATGCGTGTAAGCAACACCCCGGAAGACAGAGTAAAGGCAGCTACCTGGGACTGTGCGGAGACCTCCCGTCCCCTCAAGGTCCT